TCACATTTTGTTTCAATTACTTGAGATATGTCTTGATATTAATAACTCGACGTAATTTTTACACAAAATATAAAATTACTTGTCTCCCAAATGTCAAAACACATCAATGTACAATGATCGTAAATTAAGGGCATATTTTATTTCAAAAGGTCTTTAGCACTATAGCTCGTCCCCTGCAAACGTGCCTAGGAGCTAGGGTGGTGCCCCATTGATCTGTTAGCTAGGCTATCCGGGACGAGCCGCGTCAATGTCATGGTGGCTAACGTTTCGGCCAGCGTATTTTGGCATTCTTCAGAGCGTACTGCATATACACTCTGAAGAAGTACGCTCAGTCCGCAGCAGTAAGCCCTGAAGAAGGCCACAATACGCTGGCCGAAACGTTAGCCACCATGACATTGACGCGGCTCGTCCCGGATAGCCTAGCCAACATAAACTCCGGCCGCGGAAGCCTATACAACCCCATTGATCTGGCAAATCTGGTAAATATGATTGGCGGTGTTACAAATGTCCCTGCAGTATAGATCCAGGTCCCATCGCAAAAGATTCGAGTGTATTCTAAGGGCGATCGCTGCCATTCTTAATTCCTGGGCGACAGCGAGGGAGAAGGCATGTGCCTTAACGTCCTCCTCCTGCAGTAGTGATTTGCCTTTGTTTTCGCCTGTGTGGATGATGGTACGCGTGGTTAGGGGGACTGAATGACAGTGAGAGAAGAACGGGCACTTCTTGTAGATAGTTTGACAATCCAAAGTTTGGGTATGTTAGTTTTGGCAGTTGCGCCCCATATATAAGTGCAACGTGTTATTAGTATAGTATGTGTCTTAAAAGAATTCATTAGTATGTTTTCACACGCGTTAGTGGTGAACTATGGGTAGTATGAGTTATTATATAGTATGGATCTTCACACGAATTGGTGTAGTTAAACTCTTCGAGATGTGCACTGTCAAACCCTCCCACTTGTCTCACGGGCGCTACGAGGCAGCTAATCGATTGGTTCAGGGATTCCTCGCTCCTGGCCGCTCTCTTTAGGCCACACGGGACGGAGCGCGACCAATTCTCAATCCAATTCCCCCTCCCAACATCTCACTCTGCTCCGCGCGGAGAAAAACGCCACTTGACCGGGTCACCTGCGACTCTGCTCGCGGGACCGATCGTCCCACCGGCACGAAACCAGATTTCGACCGCGAAGCTGACGCGTTGACGAGGTGGAATGGGAAGCAGTAAGAAAAACGATGACGTGGTCTTTTCCGAGTTATAATAATAGCAATTTTTTAATTCTTTCTTTCAAGGGCCACGTATCATAACATTAACCGATAGATAACTGTTGACAAAAAAATTAATTAGATCATTAAATGAGATAGAAATCTTCGATTCCGATTTTGCATCTCCTTCTAGTTTTCTTTGAGGATTCCATTTCGTTTTGATCCATAGATGAAGATACATTTTTAAGAAAAGAAAAATGTCTGTTTCCGTAGATTTTGACTTTTGAAATCCATTGTGGCATTTCGATAACTCGTCGTGTTCACTGAGAAAGGTTTTCACCCGTACATAAAAATTATCTCATATTAAAAAGAAAATGTCGCAAAATTTCTAATGCCTGCTTGATTTCGTCCGCTGTTGGAGATGAGACATTTTTACTAAGTGTCGCCTTCTGTCAATTCAGAAGATGTTCTCATGTATTCATTCACTGCCATCTGTTCTCAAATTTGTATTCCCTTGTATTTGGTGGTTGAGTGCCTATGATTCTTTCACACGAACAGCGAAGATACGTAATGACAAAAAACATTGATGAAGTTATCGGCGTCAGTTAATAGGAACTGAGTTTTTAAAATGTTATTCAGTCTCGCCTAATTTATTATTATTATTATTATTATTATTATTATTATTATTATTATTATTATTATTATTATTATGCATTGTAATTATTTTCTAACGCTGTTCCACGAGTGGCGATGATTGTACGAAAATACCATAACGAGACCTCTCGCTCTCAGAGCAAGTAAGCCCGAGTTCAGTACCCCGAGAAGGATCGATTTTCATGGTTTGCGCAACGTCGTGACGGCATGTGAAGAGCTCATCTAAATGCAGGGCCGGCGGAGTAGGATAAAGACAAGCCAGTCCTCGTGAGGAGGTGGGGAGGGCTTGTGGGTGCAGCGCGTGCATGCCGAAAACGATCAATTGATTCACTAGGCACTGACGTCTCGCCGAGCTCTGCCCCGCCACAGCACCCTCGAGGCCATCCCCGCCAATCGTCCCGTCCCTTAC